TATGTGGTTTACCTGCAAGAGTCTGAATTTGACTTGAGAATTGTTGATGATGATTCAATTTCATTTCACATGCCATTGAGAGTTCTAAATCTGATCAGTGGTTAGATGCTATGAAAGATGAGTTGAAATCTATGGAGCATAACGAAGTTTGGGATCACGTCGAATTACCTGAATCATGTAAAAGAGTTGGGTGCTAATAGGTCTTTAAGACCAAGTGCGACTCTAATGGTAATATCGAACGACATAAAGCTAGACTTGTTGTTAAAGGTTTTACTCAGAAAGGCGGTATTGATTATAAGGAGATATTTTCTCCAGTATCCAAGAAAGACTCATTCAGAATTATAATTCTTTCTAAATGGAAATTTAGATGAAGAAGTTTATATGGATCAGCCTAAAGGTTTTTCAGTTGAAGGAAAGGAACACATTGTGTGTAAATTAAAGAAATCGATATACGGACTTAATTTAGCTTCCCTTCAGTGGTATCTTAAGTTTAACTATAGCATTACTGCCTTTGGATTTAAAGAAAACATCGTTAATTGATGTATATATCTAAAGGTCAGTGGGAGTAAGTTTATATTTTGATTCTATATGTTGATGATATTTTGCTTGCTACTAATGATCTTAGTATATTAAGAAAATTTTCTCTAAAATTTTTGAAATGAAAGATATGGGAGAGACAACCCATGTGATTGGAATTGAAATACTCTGATATAGGTCATAAGGATTATTAGGGTTGTCTTAAAAAACATACACCAATAAAATTTTAGAGAAATTTAAGATGGAAAATTTTTCAGCGAGTGTCGTTCCAATTCAAAAATTAGACAAATTTAGTCCCGTGCAATGTCTTAAGAACGAATTGGAACATAAACAAATGACAGCTATTCCTTATACATCTCTTGTAGAGAGCTTAATGTATGCTCAGACTTGTAAGTATCAAAGAAACCCAGGACTTGATGTTGGAAAGCTACAAAGAAAGTGTTAAGATACTTGTAAGGAACAAAAGATCATATGCTCACTTATAGGAGATCTTATAACTTGGAGGTCATTGGATATTCAAATTTAAACTTTGCTGGATGAGTGAATACTAGAAAGTCAACTTTGGTTATTTGTTCTTCTTGGCTGGAGGGGCTATATCATGGAAAAAGGAAAACTATGGTGGTCACGACCAAGGGCAAAGAACAAATAAATGAAATGACCATGCACATAATGGTAACGACAGAAGACGATCAAGGTGTCAAAGACAGTGTTGAGGAATCACAAGAGGATTCTAGGGATCATGGCAGTGCAAATGAGGCTCTGACAACGTCAGATAAAGAGGTGGAAGGAATG